TAACAGGGAAATCCAGAAACCATTAGCAGCTTTGAGTCCAAGAAGAACAGTGATATTACAGTAACAGTCAAATCAACATGATGACTTTCATGAAACCGTCCACTTAGAACGTTTCCCAAACGCTTGGAGATAACATGAATCTTCAAAAATAATTGACCTAACCAGAAATAATAGACGATATTCCAAAAACTGTAGGCTGAGGTATAATTCCAAGAACAAAAACGCAAGCGATGAAAATAATAAAAAGTTCACGTGGTAATAATAATGCGATATGATTGGTAAATTCCGTTGATGCTTACCCTGCTAACAGCCAATCCGTTTGAATGACTCTTGTGATGAGGGACAGAAAAGACTTGAAATAATTCCATGATAAAGGAAAATAATACACATGGACTAATACAATTTTAGTCAGTTATTGAACCAAAATTCTATGTGTTGCTCTCCTTGCCCCAAGGAAGACCTACTATATAGATATAGCCAGGGCTAAAAGGGAAGCTCTCTTTAATGTAATTGTAGTTTACTTTAAAAAAAAAAATCAGTAATAAAATGAAATTGTGTAATGTTAAACGGCGACGGCAACGGGAAAAGATCAATAGGTACGGTAAAACATGGCAACAAAAAACGTGCATTTTTTGCAACATTGGTGCAAAACGAGTTGAATAGCGATGTTGTGCATTTCACCACCTTGCAACAGATACGTTTGAACGTCGGTGGTAAAACTCTCAACATCGCTAATGAACTCGTTTTGCACCAATGTTGGAAAACAAGTTGCACGTTTTTTTTCTTTTTTATCTTTTTTTTTTTTTTACTGTAGCCTCAGTAGCCTCCCCTTAAAAACACACATTTATTTGCCGTTGTTTTGCACGACTACGGGGTGAAATTTAGTTATACGTTTTATAGAGGAATTGTCGTATGTGTTTCAGTTGGTTTTTTTTTTTACTGCTGCTCAGTTCCACTTCTGTGGCCGCTAGCATTTCTCATTTTCTCACATCTGTTAAAAAAAAAAAAAAAATACGTTATACGTTGTTTTTATCGCTCGATCTACCTCTTGCCCTGTTAGCCACGTCAGTAAAGACATTAACGTTTAGTCGCATTTAGTCGCAAAAAAGACTTGGGTTTGACGTACAGCTGTCAATTCATCTTTGTCCCAAAACAATGAAACGGCGGTCATGTTTGTGTCCCAAACCAGTCCTGTGGGAGTTCAACTCTTTTCTTATCTAAACGCTTTCTTTTGTTCCAATAAATTTGCATAGATGCTGGCCACGTGAGTGAAAACACAGAATAATCTCTTTTCAATGTTTGCAAAAATGAAAATAAAAAGCAAATAGCCGTTTGTTGTCGTTTGATTGTTGTCCGCACTCCCTAAAATCCCGGCAATTTTAGGGAGCTTAAGCAAAGACGTTTTTGAGCGACGCACGTCAACCGGAAGTGGCCTTTTTTTCATTTTTAAACGGTGGTTTCGCCCAAATTTTCAGTCAAACCACCTCTCTAACAGTAAAGAAGCTAAGGAATACAAATTTTATATCGTCAAGGCATGTTGAGAGGGAAAATGCCTTACTTCCGGTTGACGTCCGTCGCTCTAAAACGCCTTTGCTTAAGCTCTCTAATACAAGTCCTTGAACTACGTCAGCAAACTATATATTGCTGTAGATCTCTTTTAAGACTCCGCGAAAGTGCAAAACAAACGTTCCATCCACCTGACCCACTCTAGGTCAGTAATAAAATGCTTGCAAATTCGATGAAAAAAAAAACAAAACAAAAACAAAACAAAACAAAACAAAACTTTTAAGTCACTCGTCGATCGACTCCGTGGCATAAAAAATTCCTTGAACTTGCTCATGTAAACAACAAAAAGTGTCAAGTCACTCACTCGAGACTATTGAGAGTACCCCAAATTCAAAAACGTAGAAACTAAAAAGTCTTCAGTCAGGCGACAAATCCTCCTTTACCTTTATTTTTTCGAAAACGGAGAAAAAAATCCCCGTTTAAAAACAAAAACGAATGCATGTGGACAAGGCCTTATAAATATGGCAAGGCGTATGTTTGACTTAATGACCAGGTGACCGAATAGAATTGAACACCGTGGATAACGAAACTAGAGGAGGCTATCTGGCGCTCTTGCAAATATATGAAAGGGAGGAGAGTTTTCTTAGGACAAATTTTTCACAGAAAAAGTAGAAAACAAAATTTAACTACTGTGGAATAAGAGGATATTTAAGCTGAGGAATACGTTTAAAGTTGTCGGCACTTCGGTACTGGATGCAGGGATGCAGAGGGTTTTTAGGGGATGTTAAAAGTGCCCTCTACTGCGTTTCATGAAAACGAGTTTGAACCTTCAATCGACTGAACAATTTCGTTCCCAGAGTCCTCTAATTGGGACAAGTAGAAGAGGACCCTACAAACGAGGTTGTCGACTGAGAAGTAGGTCGTGTGGTGGTATTTTGGAATAGGCTATCATCAGTTTCAATAATCTAAGATGACCAGCATAATATTGAAACAGATAGGGAAAATAAACGCGGTCACGTGACCATAGCCCTATATAACTAACGTATTGATGCCGTTAACCTTAGCTTACCTTGGTGATGATGTCTTACTTGTGCCTGCATCAAAGCAGTAACCGGAGTGCTCCATAAATGTGTCATAGCCGCTGTGGCATAGCTAGAACATTCGCCTTCTCCAATTCAATACCGCGAGCGTGCTTCATGTTCTCATTGAGCATGCTTATGACGTCTTAATTTATTTCCCTCAATCATCATATCGTAAGTTTCACAGCAGGGAATCCGCTCTCTTGAAAGTAGAAAATGACATTTTATTAAACATGAACAGACAGTATGTCACCTTGTTTGTTCTGTTGGATTTGAGCGCGGCTTTTGATACCATTGATCACGGTATCTTACTTGAGAGGCTTAGGTCTGCATTTGGAGTTCGGGATATGGCACTGTCCTGGCTTGCATCATATTAAGGTGGCAGAACTCAGCAAGTTTCAATCGACGGCACACTCTCAACGAAGTTTGATTTGGAATGTTGCGTACTTCAAGGTTCGTGTCTCGGGCCTTTGTTGTTTGTTGTCTATGCTAGCAAGATATTTGAAATTGTTGGCAAACATAATTTAGAGATCCACTGCTATGCGGACGATAGCCAACTCTATTTATCCTTCTGTCCTAATGATAATGCTAATCAAGAGGCCGCCTTGGCTAGGGTCGAAAGGTGTATTGAAGACATTCGTAACTGGATGCAGAACGACAAATTGAAACTGAACGATAATAAAACTGAATTCATGATTATCGGCACATCGCAGCAACTAGCTAAAGTATCAATTAACAGCCTTCGTGTTGGGACTGCAACTATCACTCATGTGTCGTCTGCAAGGAACTTGGGCTCATGGTTTGATTCCAAGCTGACGATGGCAACCCATATATCAAAAACATGTAACTCTGCCTTCTATTATATGTATAATCTGAGACGCATAAGAAAATATCTATCTAAAGACAACACCAAGACTCTGATTCATGCCTTTATTTCAAGCAGAGTCGATTACTGTAACAGTCTTTTGTATGGCCTTCCGGAGTATCAACTCAATAAGCTACAGCGTGTTCAGAACGTGTATGCTAGATTAATATGCAATGAAAGTAAATATTGTCACATTACTCCTTTATTAGTAGATTTACACTGGCTGCCTGTAAAGTTCAGAATTGAATTTAAAATCCTGTTGATTGTTTTTAAGATTTTTAAGGGCTTAGCACCCTCGTACTTAAGTTTTTTAATTACTCCTAAGCCTGTATGTAAATATAATTTAAGAAGTTCTAGCGACAGTACCCTACTTAGTTATCCGAATGTTAAGCCCAAGGCAACCCTCGGTGAACGGGCCTTTCTGTTTGCTGCATCTAAGTTATGGAATGCAGTGCCAAGATTTATTAGGGAATCCATTTCAGTTGACACTTTTAAGAAAAAGTTGAAGACTCACCTTTTTAAAAAAGCATTTTGTACCACTTAGATTATAAGATTGTATTTTTAGCTTATTAGATTGTAAATAATTTTCAGCTTATAATTTTTAAGATTTTGCTAACAGATTTTATCTTTTTAACCTTTAGCCATTAGTTTTTCTATTCTATATCTATATTATCATCTTGTTTGATCATTTTTATTATCATAATTATTCATAATTTCTATTATTAGTAGTATCATTGTTTTTTTTTTGTTGTTGTTGTTGTTTTGTTTTGTTTTGTTTTTTGTTTTTTTCCCTATGGCGCATTTGAATATATTTATATAGATACTTGCGCCTTATAAGTTTTGAAATTAATTTGAAATTAATAATTCCCAAGCGCATCCATAACTCATCAATAGTACACGATGGAGCACTAACAATGTGTTTTATGATTTAAAATAAAGGGAAACACTTTTGAATTTGTTAACCGATAGTAGAGGAATGAGGTGAGCGTTGTTATTGTCATCTGTGCGGGCCAATTAGCGTGCGCAAATCATTCTTTGCATAGTTTTTTTCCTTCAAAAGGAATTTTGCAGCGAATTAATAGTTTTCCATCTTATAATGGATTATAAAACCTTTTTGAATGTTTTCTTAAGCGACCTCTGTAAACCCTCTCTCAGCTTGAAGATAAAAACCTGTGAAAAAATAATTATGGGTTAAAACAACAAATAGTCACGTAAACATTCAGCGCTGAACATAGACGCGTGCTGCTTTGAGCGCACGTTTTAGTAATAGAGTTAATTACAGCATTGATTGAATTGAAATGTTTTTAAACAATTCGTTCATGCTTCTTGAACACAGTTTTTTACACCGTCATAGCTGTCAGCAATGGAAAATAATACTTCAAATTGTTAACGAAATAAGCCTTTTTGTTACTTTCAGCATTTAGACAAGACAGAAAAAAGCGTAGTGGGCCATGAAAGCGATAGATTGAGCGAGTCGTAAAGTGCGCAACCAACTAAGGTCCGAGTCTTCATGCACAAGATTGCTGACCTTATCAACCACTCCTTGTTTGCCTCTTGAAGAGTACCGCCTGTCTAACAAGATTCCCAAGCTCCCTCTAGAAGATCAGTCTCCAAAGTATCTAGTGGTTGCGGAGTATGACGTATACAAGAGACTTTCCCATCTCAATGCAGCCAAAGCAGGCGGTCCGGACGGTATTCCTGATTGGATACTAAGGGAGTATGCGGAATTTCTCGCCTATCCTGTCTAAATCATTCCAAATGCCTCTTTCAGGGAACAATAGCTACCGAGACCCTGGAAATTGGCAGACGTCACTCCTTTACCCAAAACCAAGCCTGTTAAGGAGTTCAAGAAAGATGTGAGGCCTATATCGTTAACACTGAGTATCTCTAAGGTCGCAGAGGACTCTGTCGTCACAGAGCACGTAAAGCCAGCTGTACTGCGCTCTCTGGACCCAAGCCAGTTTGGTGCGATACCGAAGTCTTCGACAACTTTTGCCCTGTTGGAGATGCTCCACGAGTGGTCTCAAGGGACTGATGGGGACGGTTCGACTATCAGGACACTCCTGTTTGATTACAAAAAAGCATTTGATCTAATTGACCATAGTATCTTAGTAAGGAAATTATGCGCACTTGACATCGCACCTAGCGTCATTAATTGGATAATAGATTTCCTATCAGTTCGTTCACAGAGAATTAAACTCTCTGAAGGCTGTGTATCCGAATGGGGCACAGTACCTTCGGGCGTTCCGCAAGGGACCAAACTAGGCCCTTGGCTTTTTTTGATCATGATAAATGATCTAACAGTCAGTAATGCTTCTATTTAGAAATATGTAGACCATACCACAACATCAGAGGTAATAAAGAAAGGACAGCATAGCGAGGCTCAAGGTATTGTAAATGAGGTAGTAAATTGGTCAATCAGAAACAGAGTCAAGTTAAACACAGACAAATGCAAGGAGCTCTGCACTAGTTTTACATCAGATTGTGACTTTCCTCCAGTAGTCATAGGAGAGGAGTGCATCAAATTAGTTAAAGATGTTAAACTTTTAGGTGTTACTATCTCTGGTGACATAACATGGAATGCGCACATCACGGAAGTTACTAAGAAGGCAGCTAAGAGGCTCTATTTTCTTGTTCAGCTAAAAAGAGCTCGTGTTCCACAGAAAGATTTATGCCTTTTTTACATTACTTTCGTGCGCTCCGTCATTGACTATGCTGCCCCAGTTTTCCATCACGTGCTACCGGCCTACCTTTCGCAAGAATTAGAACGCGTTCAGAAAAGAGCAATGCGAATCATATGTCCTGGTATAGAATATCAGCAAGCTTTAGCGCTTATGAGTTTACCAATGGTTGCGGAGCATCACCACAACATTTGCACGCACACGTTTGAAATCACAATGAGCGACCCGAACCTTACGTTAAGAAAGTTGTTGCCGCCTCTTCAGAAGAGCAACTCAGGAATCTAAGGCATGAGCGCACTTTCACTCTGCCGCGTTGCAAGACAAATAGATTTAAGAACAGTTTTTTTTTATGGCCTCAGGCAGAATTGTAAATAATCTTTAGGTTTCATATTATACGTTTTTAGTCTTAGCTATTACAATTATTGCTCATTTTCACAATTACCATTATGTAAATACGCAATTCAGTTTATGCTGCAATGTATCTAATAAAGTACCTATCTATCTTATCTCTCATCTTCGATTATCAGGCGATTTATAAGTTTAACTCAAGTAAAATCCGGTCAGTTCAACCTCGTCTTACAGATGGGCCTCATTATTTCTTCTACCTCTTCTCTCTGACTTTCTCAGCTTCCGCCATCCACAAAAACAAATTCAGGTTTTGCCAACAGCCCACTAATGTAAAACTTAAGATGGAATCCATCAGGAAATTGAGTAATTTTAATTTTCAGTGGACAAAACCTTGTAACAGAATAAATTAAACAATATCGCATTCCTTTTTACATTTTCCAAGGGCTATAGATGTAATAAGTTATCTGTAACAACACCAAAGAAAATGTCTCATGGGAGCCAGAGAAATTTCACAAAATGACAGCTTACACATGAAGTTTTCAGAATTCTACCTGTGTTTTCACAATTCTTGTGGAATTTGACATTTATTTTCTCAGCTCCCATGAGAAATAGTCTTTGGTGTTATTACAGATAATAAATTATATCTATTAAACCCTAGAAAATGTAAAAAAGAAAGCGGTATTGTTTAAATTATTCTGGTACAGGGTTTTTGTCCACTGAAAGTTGAAATTACCCAATTTCCTGATGGATTCCGTCTTAAATCCTTCAACTGCTCCAGATTTTTCAGTTTCTGTGTTTCATAGTTGTAATTACTTTTCTAGCCCTTACAGCGGCAGTTAGTGATATGATTGGATTCTCTTTACTTATCCATTAGAAAAGGTTTTTTGAGTAGTTTTCAAAAAGTGCTGTCGGTAAAATATAAACTAAAAGCGCTCCTTTTTTCGAGTTTTGATCTATGGGGCGTTGCGAAAGTTCATTTGACACGACAGCCTGTCAAGCCCTGGTCCAATCACAGTTTCAATAATAATAATAAAAAAATAAACCAGTTAATGTGCTTGTTTGCGTCATTCGCACGCGCGCTCACCTCTTATTTTTGTTTTTATTTCTCTCCCAACATGTTGGAGATGAAAAAAATTAATCAGAGGATTATAAAATAAATAAACCCCTTTCCGGCTTGCTAGTATATCGGAGGATAATGCCCTAGGCTGAGAGATTGTCCTCAAAATTTCACATTTGCCCGAAGCTTCGCTTCTCGGCCAAATATTTATTATTATCTCTCAGCTGCGGGCATTATCCTTCGATATACGAGCGGCAGGAATAATAAATAATAATAATGCTTATTTCTTATATTGCGCAGTCTAGCATGCGACAAAGATATGATCGAATGCGCATTACAACACTAAAATCTTAAAATAATAAATGGCTAATCCAAATAATGATAATAATAATAATAATTTACAATTTTCGGAAAACAATAAAAATAAAATAGGAGTTAATAAAAGAACTAATAAAAAGCTAGTTTAAAAAGATGTGTCTTAAGCAAAACTTTAAAAATGTTCAATGATTGACATTGTCTAATTTCTAGAGGGAGTCGATCCCATACTTTAGGCGCAGCATTTTCAAACGCCCTGTCCCCGAGTGACTCTTTTGTTCTATAGTTAATGTCCATTAGGAGTATGCCCCGGTATGATCTCAACTGATCCCGCGAGCTCTCTTTGATTTTTATCAAGTCTAAAAGATATTGTGGTGCGACGCCGTAGATGCATTTGTGAACTAGCATTGCTATCTTGAATTCTATTCTGTGGGTAACCGGAAGCCAGTGCAGGTTGACCAGGGATGGTGTGATAGGATCATACCTACATATAGTACATACCAGCCGAGCTGCCGCGTTCTGCAGGCGTTGCAGCTTACCAAGATGAACAGCGGGCGTACCATAGAATAGACGGTTACAATAGTCTAATCGTGACATTATAATAGCCTGTACAATGGACTTCCTATTGTCATATGATAAATACTTTCTAATACGCTGGATGTTATGTAGATGGTAATAAATATCCTGACATATGTTGTTAATATGTGCGGTCATATTCATGTTTGCATCAAACCAAGCACCCAGATTCTAACAGAGTAAACCGCAGAAACCTTTACCTCACCTACTTGCAAGTCACTTAATGTAACCTTATTTAACTGTACTCGTGTACCTATAATAAGAAACTCGGTCTTAGCATCGTTCAGCCGAAGTTTGTCTTGGACCATCCAGGTTCTTATGCCCCTGATGCAAGCTTGTAAAGCGTCAACAGCATCCGTCTCAGTAGCAAAACCATCCGGCTTAAATGAGATATAGAGCTGCGTATCATCAGCTTATGCGTGAACGTCAGGGAGATGGGATTCAACAAAATCGAAGAGCTTGCTTGCGTACAACGTGAAGAGCAAGGGACCAAGACACGATCCTTGAGGCACCCCTTGAGGCAGATCAAAGTCACTCGAATAGCTCCCGTTAATCAGGATTCGCTGTTTCCTGTTTGATAAATACGAGTGAAACCATTTAAGAGCGGTACCTGTAATTCCATACGTCACGTACAGATGATTCAACAACACTTGGTGGTCAATCGTGTCGAATGCTGCACTCAGGTCTAGCAATACCGAGAGAGTATGTCGTTGATTGTCCATTGCAGCCAGTATGTCATTTTGTATCTTCAATAGGGCAGTCTCTGTGCTATGACCAAGTCGATAGGCTGACTGGAGGATGGGATACAAGCCCGACTGAGTAACGTGATCGGTTGTCTGATCATAAACTGCCCTTTCAGGGCGTAATTCGTAATTAAATGAAGGATTATCCGTGAGTAGGATGGGCTCCTGTCGTGAGCAAATAAAGTTGCATGACTTGAACAAAGAAAAAGGTCAATATAAAAAAGGAGAAATATATATACAATACGAGTCTAAAGGTAAACAGCCACGATTTATTGCTCAATTTGAAACTGTTCATTAACAGAATTATAACAAATTGCCTTTTACTCTGTTGAAACAAGCCTTAGCCCTTTAATCGCTGAGCGTTATGACATAGTAGAAACTAATCGACCTGCTTCTCTGGAAGCAAACTTCTTCTGCCCAGCTGTTAAATATGATACATGTAAATGTAAAATAACCAACGAATCAACCGGCATGCGCATGCACAATAAGCAAACTAATTAAGACACCAGATCAAAACAGCTGAAACTATGTTTCATCCATGGAAGGTAATCCGGTTTCCAGAATCCAGGAATCCTGGGCTTTGGAATCCGGAATCCCAAAAGCGATTGAAACCCGAAATCCAAGTTCCACTGACACAGAATCAGAATCCAGTCCCTGGAATCCGGAATCCGTGACGTGGAATCCAGATTCCAAAATTGTCCTGGATTCCCTTACATGAGGCCATGTTACACAAAAGAAAATTACTGTCTGACTTTAAATCATAGATCAAGACACACTTTAGATCGATCAGATGACTACACTATTAAAGGAAAATTTCTGACATCTCCGTGCTAATGTTCATTAAAAAGCAACGTTAACTAATGTTTTAAAGTAATCCTTACAACTATATTTATCTGGTAAGGTGATGATTTGATAGCAAAAATTTAGTCTAAACAACTACATTTATAGTACAAACAAATTCAGCACCAAAAGGACAACCGGAAGACCCTTTCTAATGACGTTACACCATTAACCATAGCTAAAAAAGAACTTAAAATTGAACGTTTAGTACCTAACCATAGTTAGTAGAGGAAAGTGGTTAGGAAATGCGGCAACCATCAAAGTTGAAAACAAAGATGCTGCAGTTTATGTTTAAACTGAGCTCTCTGACCGTGGACAATCCTTTTTTTTGTTGTTGTTGTTCACAAATTCTGACTGAATAATTTAATGCAATGTTTCTATTGGTCAGCAAGTTCAAAATGATAGGAATACTATTGAACGTTGTGCACGGTCAGGACCAAACAAGCTGACAAAGACATATAACAAAAGAGACTAACGGGTTCCGAACCATTCCACTTTAATAACTATGACCATAACAGAAAGATATTAGTCCCCTATGATGCTTAGTAACATCACACGCTCCATGATGCTATCAGAATACAAGGTCAATAAATAGGTGGTTACATTTCAGTTATGTTGAAGTGGTGGGCCGCGGCCGGCAGTCTGCAAGTTAACCTGTTATTAACTTTATAGCTTATGAAGAAAAATCGAACAAAAACAAACAAACATGTACAAAAAAAAAAAAAAAAACAAAACAATAAAATAACAAAACTTTTAATCACATAAATAAATAAATTACATAAAAAAAATTTTTTTTTTTTTTTTTTTAATATTTAGGGAAAATAAAAATAAATTTGTATTATTTAAAATAAAAAATTAAGGGGGAGGAAAGGTGTGGGGGGCGGGTCTTTGTGCTACCACACCCGGCTATGCGGGTTCGGTTCCCCG